AGAGAGAGAGAGAGAGAGAGAGAGAGAGAGAGAGAGAGAGAGAGAGAGAGAGAGAGAGAGAGAGTTGGGGAGCACCTTACACGCTTAGCTGCACTAAGCAGCACAAATTGTATTCGCACCAAGCGGCGTTAAAGATTTATCCCATGTACATTTTTCAATTTTTTTTTTCCTTCGTAACTGCCGTCAGGTCCATCCCATCCCCCCGACTCATAGCCATCTGGCTCGCTCGACCGGTGTGCCACCTCCCTGGGACCATTAGTAGAGGTGCCTTGTGAGACAGCATCTTGGAAGAGCCATTTTAATAGAGTGGTGAAGTGCACAGTGGATCGTAGTTCGTGGGTAAGAGGGGATAGTGGATGCAGATGGATACACGTTAAACAAATGGAACCAAAACTACAAACCTAGAAATTGGATTACAAAAAAAACATTGGAATGGTGCTCCATAACCGTACATGGAATTTTGCGCCAGAGTTGCCATCTGGAACGAGCGGGCTGAATTCCCATTGCTCGTTCGTATTCTCTTTCCACTCATAAGGCTCCGTGCATGACACTCCAGAAATCAAGTCTTTTCCTGAAAGCAATTGCCCGACACATGCCGCACGACATGTCCAAACGATGAGAGGAATAATACATCTCAGTTGCGAAATAATATAATCATTACCATATTGAATTCTATAAAAATTTAAAAGAATATAATCATTACCATATTGAATTCTATAAAAATTTAAAAGAACTCAAAAAAACTTCAAAAAACTTGAAAAAAGTAAGTTACTAGGTTGATATATTTGAGGTATTCGCGGAGAGGACATCAATCCGAAAACTCATCATTATTTAACTTTTTATTTTTGTGAGGGTGGCCTCCTTGAGAGCTGGGCGTCTCTATGTACTCTATGCATGCTATGTATGCCGCGTACGTGCCCGTACATAGCATACAACGGGGGGTCGTTTAAAACTGATAGTAAAATCAATGCACATGGCCAAAATCTTCCGAGAATGCTTTCCATCGCTATGCACGAGAAATGGGAAACACTCGGGACTTTTTCGACTCAGCTCTGGACGTGATTGTGGTCAGATGCATGCATGTCCTGCCATAGTAGCGGTCATATACATTCAGAAAAAAAGTATGCCCTACGATCGCATGGTGCTGGGCATCTAATGGTTGCATCAAACTGCAAGACCATCAGTAGCCGTGCATATTCCCACCACTGAATGTGCATGTCGAACCCAATAATAATTGAACACGCAACCTACAGCTTGCCAGGCAGATATCTTTCCAATAGCCGTGCATACTCCATGCCACTCAATGGGCATCCTTGAGTACAACAGTGTGTGTTTGTCAAAGACAGAGGAGCAATGATGAAAGGTGACGACGGGTAGCGAATGCAGGAAGCTGTCCCAACACACAAAACCAACATAAACTTCCGTTATGCCCGCCAACAGCTTATAGCCTTATACACACAACTGGGGAAGCCAAAATGCGTCATTAGGGCACTTGCACCTAAAAAAAAGTTTGACAGCGACATGATAAAAGTGACTGTAAAAAATATATATATATAAAAATTATAAATAACAAGTGGACCCCGCCACGGCTACGCCGTGGCGCACAGCAACACTCGGCGATATTGTGCTTGGCTGGCATCGGTGCTTGTCGTTTGCTCCGGCTCTCTCTCTCTCTCTCTTTCTCCCTCCCTCTCTCTCTCTCTCTCTCTCTCTCTCTCTCTCTCTCTCTCTCTCTCTCTCTCTCTCTCTCTCT